GCCACAGCAGAGGAGAGTGAAATCTGCCGAAACCCTAGCCCGCCCCTTTTGGCTTGAGACAATGGATGAGAGCATCTACGCCAGAATCATGGGGAAGGAGCGGAGGCCGTCCACCGACGAGCCCGGACGACGACTGAGGGAGGCTCAAATCCGCTAATACAGGCGAACGACGAGGGGATCGAAGATGGCGATTTGGGCGATTTTTTCTTCGGAGCGGAGAGAGAGAGAGAGTTTTGTGAAAGATCCCAAGTGTGAACCTTAGTTACTATAATACTAATAAAATAATTAAAAACTTTTCAACCTAGATGTATCTTGTTTGTTTTGAAAAAATTACTAATTATCATAAATTAATAGAAAAATTACATTAAATGTATTATATTTTCTATCATTATAAAAAAAATTCATAATAATTAGTTGCACGCAATATTATATATAATGTAAATTTCTTTTAGGCTCCGTTTGGATTGAGTGATTTGAAATCCCAAAGGATTTCAAATTTATTGGATTTCAAATCCATTACCTTGAATTACCTTGTTTGGATTAAGGTGAATTTGTAGAAAGAATTTCAAATCCATGAATTTCAAATTCATTGTTTGGCAAACCATTAGAACATTTTTTTTTACAAACTAACATAAAAAATAAATCATTTTCTAAAACTTCATTATTAGTACATATTTTCATGATATTATACACTCAAATCATGTAAAATGAAATCTCACAAATGCCATACCCAAATAATGAAAAGGAAGGATAAAATCACTTATCAAGACATGTTGAATTTACAACATCCTGCCAATAAGAATTTCTCCATAGATATAAGTTGCATCATGAAGACATATCCAAGACAATATTCACGTAAAACATTCCAAGCGAGCTATATGTTTTCTTATCATTCTTACTCCTTGTTTAGCTATTATAATACTAATAAAATAATTAAGGGCATTTTGATCCAGATTTATCTTGTTTGTTTTGAAATAGTTTACTAATTACCATAAATTAAATGATAATTATATTGAATGTTTTATATTTTTCTATCATTATCAACAATCTTCATAATAAATAGTTGCACACAATATTATATATAATGCAATTTTTTTTTTATTGATTTAGAGCCGTACCTTTACTACAAGAAAATGAGAAAATTCCAACGCAAATTTAAAAAAATATATATATATATATTTCAATGTTACTACTCTCGTTTGACCGCGCGTCGCGACGCGGCAAATTTAAATTTATAAACTTTTTCTTAACTAACCTCTACTAACTAGTAGTAGTGGCGAGTAAGGGTCGATCCCACGAGGAGCAGGAATTAAATTGTGAGATTATCGTATGAATCAAACTAGAACTATGAAAGCAGTAAATGGGGGGATTGATTTAATAAAAATAAAATAAAAATAAAATAAATAAGAGAAGTCTAGTTTTCGGTTTAGTTATCACCCAATCTAAATATACCGTTAATTAATTTCGACGTTTTCTTTAAATTGCCAATGAATTACCAATCCTAGCTAACAATAAGCTCTATTAACCGAATTTTCTCTTACCGATTATTTAATCGAAATAAGCTCTTCGACTAAACCACTAGCGTACAACATAGAATAAGCTCTCTAGATTTAATACACTAGCAACATTAATCTCTAGAAAAATAGATCAGTCTAAGCAACGGACGCAAAAGTTCGGACCATTTAGCTTATGTTCATGCTACCCTTGAGATGCATGACCCCTAGTTTACTACTAATGAAACGAGATCAATAACAATTACGGATTAAAGTCCCGTATCTAGCACTTAAACTATGAATATTTAACGTAGTTGGACAGACTAAATCAAACACCATAATTCATAAACATTATAAACATATAACATGAATCAACTAATCGACAAAATAAATACGGCATCTCGATTAATTAACGATAAAAATAAATCCTTCAATTCATAGACAAATCAAAGTTAGGGTTCAAACATCCCCTAAAACGGGATAAAAGTCCTACTTTAACATACTAATAAAAATAAATAATAGATATAAGAGAAAAAATAAAATTCTCCCTCGTGTGCGGGTGCGGCCTCCCTCCGCGTGTAGTGCTCTTTATTCGGCTACTGCTCTCGCCTCTGTTTTTTTTTCTTCCGTGCGTTTTTTTTTCTCCCTGTGCGTGGCGTCAATGATCCACAAAATAAATCCAAGTCTCCCTTTTCTAATACGTGAGTGCTGATGTCTCTTAGAAAATAATTCCTAAGTTACCTCCAATAAAACTCTTCCCAACACTTTGATATATGGCCTATCAATTAATCCTGGTTGCCACGTTTTTTCCTTCACCAATTAATTAAGTCATGGCTGCGTGGCATCCGTCCATTTCATGTGTGCTCCAAATAAAATCCTCCAAACCAAAAATTAATGCCGGCGTGTCTTTTTCTCTTAATTGGGCCTAAATTCACAAACATATGGGCCGAAAGTGGGCTGCTATTGGAGGCTCCATTATCGCGTGAACTCCCGTCTAATACTTCGTGCCCACAAATTACTCCAAAATACTGAAAATAACACATAAAACATCAAAGCGAATTAATCCGTCCAAATAATAAATAGGCCGAAAATTATAAATGTGCGAATAAACTAAGTCTATAAAAATACATTATTAAATATATAAAATAGGCACATTTTTCGATCTATCACCGTTTGAATTTTCCAATATAATTCTAGCAAAAATATTTTATTGGAACCATGAGCAGATCTATGTTTATTTTATAGATCTGGCACTGCCCTCCATCCCAAAGCATATAGCGTAATGAATCTAATAAAAATTTGTGGGAATATTTTTTTATAACTTTTATCATGTCCCCTGTTTTAAAATGAAATTGAAAGAAAGAAAGATACATAATGAATTAATTTACAACTCAACCAATTATAATTTAATCCAACTCATAACTTTATTAGTGTTATAACTTATAACATAAACGCAGGATCACAACTAAAGAAAATATAATAAATCTCAAAATTACAATTTTATCCTCTAGTTATAGTTTAAAAATTGGAGCCTCGTTTTATTTTTCGATCCTTCGTCTTAAGTTGTTTGGGCGATCGTTTATTTTGTTCGAGCCTTAGAAACCGTCATTTCGTTTTACAAGCCAAAACCAGGTTTTTCTAAAATTTTCGAAACTCTGAAAAATTATATTTTTGTAAAATTATATTATTCGAACCTCGTCGCCACGTGTGAAATCGTTGTCGAAAAATCATCGCCGAAGTGATTTTCAGTGCAGTCAGGTGCAACCCGCTTACCCTTTTTCTCGCGGCCCAGTCCGTCCTTGGAGCAGGCCTAGCACGCGAGGGCGAGGCCCAGTTGTGGTGCCCGCAGCCCAAATCTGCAATTTTTTGTCAGGCCCGCGCTAAGCCCGTGCAGCCCGTCTCCTCACCCTGAACTCGTCCCACGCGTAGCCGCACTTTCTCTTGCAGTATCCCGCGTACATGCCTGGTGAAGCCCGCGACCATTGTAGCCTGTGGCCCCCTTTTCCTTCCATGCCAAGCCCAACCCCAACGGCCCATTTCGCGTGCCATACGGCCCAGCAGTGCGACAACCCATCAGCGCCCAGTGTGCGCGGCCCAGCGTCCCAAAATGCATGCCGGCAACTCCTGTGGCTTATTTTCTTTCGTGCCGATCCAGTTTAAAAAAAATAAATAGATAGGGCAGAAAAATTTATTTTTTTAAGCCTCGTGACATTTTTCCGAGACTTGTCCTTTTAATTTTAGAGTTCCAAGTTTGACGATAATTTTTATAAAAACACTTAATCATTAATTTTTTATGAAGTGAAAAATTTCAATAATTTTCTGAAAAATGAGATAATTTATTGATGAAAATTATCTCGCTAAATTTTAGGTTTTTGAGGAGTCGAATTCTCAAACCTACCGTGAAGCATTTGTATAACCGACATTTTCAAACTGAGGTGGGTGTTGCTAAACTTACTATGTTTTTATTTCTTATAGTCACTTGATTCCATAATTTTTTTTTTTTTGTAAACTATTCATCTGTTGAGTTGAACTCCCGTCGAAGGACTATTCCGACGGTTCTCTATTTTGCTTGTATGAGTTGATCTCGTCATGGATTGTGCCGATGGTTAGACGTGTACACATGAGCATAGGATGAGGTAGGAGATAGATGTGGTGATTTGTGTTTATGCTGCAATTAGTTATCAGTTATTATCTGGAATATATTGCATAATATCTTCCACGGTGAGCTAGTTTTTTGCTCACGCCCATACATTATCTTTTTCAGGTTAGGCTGCTGACTGTGGCGACGATTGGGGCGAGTGTGGTCTTCTTTTGGAGTTTATTATTATTTTGCTTCCACTTGTTTTTCGAACTATGTTTATATCTGCAAAGCGTTTTTCCAAACTGGTTACTTTTGATTTTGGAATGTTGAGATTGGTTAATATTTTGAATAAGTACTTTTGTTGTTGTCTTGATTGTGAAGTGGTGTGACGTGAGCTAGGATTGTTGAGTAATGCCCGAATGTTTGTTTCAATCGAAAACTGTTTTACGAAAACTTAATATTTTCATTTGAAAAATAACGGGCGTTACAATTAACTGGGTTCATTTCAAACAAGCTACTTGATGAGCTGTTAATCGATTATATAGGGATAAAAAATGTAACTATAAAATATAATATACCTTCTAAATATTTGTGTAGTATGTAGATTATTGTTAGATTTCATTTCTAAAATACAAAAGAAAAAAACAGTAAGACCCATGGTTATAATTGTCATTTCTGACCAATCAAATGCCAGGTTGTATTGTATAAGTTAAAAAAAGAAAAAATTACACAGTGCCACAATCATCAGTGACTCTCATCTGGTCATGATCCCAATTCATCCTAGTTACAAAAATTTTCCCAGCATTACAAAAATGAAATACTAGCATTACAATTTTTAAGAGAAACCCACCCAAAAAATTTTATTTTATGAATGAAAACAAATCACTAACAATAAAATCAAAACAAAATAAATAATATNGAAAATCACAAACAATAACATCAAACCATTCTTCATCCTCACTCCACCACTCTCCTACTTTCTCTCGCTACACCTACACTGCTTCTCTTCTGTCTCTGTATTTGTGTACTCAGACAGAAGCTAAAAATAAAGAAAAGAAGCATCTTTCTACATACACTGTAAATACATTTCTCATTTGTACTGAAGAATAAAGCAGTAAAGCGAAACACATGGTCCATTTGTAGTCTTGTCTTGAACCTCCGCAAAATCCCATCCCAAAGCCCTAGCATTTTTTTGGATTCAGTACATCCTGAGAGAACCTGCAGATAATCGAGACCTTGAACTCGTCGATCGGGTGGTGTAATCGAAGATCTCTGCATTCACATTGGTGAATTTAGTTTTCTAATCTTGCTCGATCGTCTTATCTTTAGTAGGCATTTAGTTAATTTTCAATTTCAGCGTTTTTTAGTTGGTTTTAGCCCGTGTTGTGGGAATATCAAATTGCTTTTCCATTGATTTCCAATTGAGCTGATACTGATTGAGGATAAGACTGAGATGGAACGGATGTTTACCATTTCAAATTTGTTTATTTTTGTGGTCAGATCTGAGGGAAAATTGTATGTTAATATTCTGACTGCCACACCTGGGGCGATACGGTTCAATTTCAAGTACATTGTGTTCTATAGATGTTCTCTCTTAATGTTGTTCGATTTGAAGTTTATTTCTATGCGATTTAGTTCTTGATTTGAGATCTTGTTAGTCTCATCGTATGGGCATATGTTTGAAGTCTCTAGTTGGGCCTGTTTTATCTGTGTTTATATATCTTTCTTATGGAGTTGCAATAATCATTTCGAGTGTGTTGTGCAGGCGGTGCAATATGTATATGGTCCTATAAACCGAAATTTTATGGGATGGGTGTGGACGCATGAAAGACGAACACGAAAATAGTGGCTTTTCTTGGTTTGGAGAAGATGAAGTCAGATACCCCACTCGATTACGCTGTATTTCAGCTCTCACCGAAGCACTCACGGTAGGGATTTTAGTTTATTGTGTTTGTTTTCAAGGTCATTTGAGCTTGTTATGTCATACAAGTTATTTACGGCAAGCTTCTTTTGGACAGATGCGAATTGTTTGTTTCCAGTGATGGGAGCACAGAGAAGATAGCTTCAGGATTGCTTAAACCATTCGTTTCGCATTTACAGATTGCCGAGGAACAACTGTCCTCTGGTTCACAGTCAGTTAAGCTTGAAGCTGGGCGACGGAAAAATGCTGAGACGTGGTTCACCAAGGGAACACTTGAGAGGTAATGTTATTTGCTGCTTGCTAAGCGGATTACTAGTTTCTACTGTTGCATCTAATATGTGAGTTCACAATATTGATGTTCAGGTTTGTACGTTTTGTTAGCACTCCTGAGGTTTTAGAGCTAGTCAATACCTTTGATGCCGAGATGTCACAGTTGGAAGCTGCTCGGAGGATATACTCGCAGGTATTTATTTCAGTAACGGTTCAAGTGGTAATTCTGTTGAACACAAATCACAACTAAATTTCTTCTCTAATTGATGTCAGGGAGCTGGAAATCAAGTTTCTGGTATGGGTTCTGGCTTCTTGCCGATCTCTTGCTGATCTATTATCAATTTGTTTAGTTTCACTGCATTTGGGGAAGCGTATAACTGATCTGGCACTCGTCGAAAATATATTAATGTGTTTGAAACCTCTAAGTGTGTATAAATGTGTGTATCAGTTATTCTTTTATTTTGGATGAATGATGAAACAACATTTCTGAAAGTAGACTAGTGAATCTCAGACAAGTCAGTTAATAAATTCTTTAAATGAGGTCCCTTTCATAAGCTGAGGAAGCTAGTTGTTCTGATCAAAATGTGCGCTTGTTTTGGCTTAACAGTTATGGGTGATTTCATAAGTTGAGAGCATAAGCTTGAAATAATGCTTTATAATTAATTATATAATCTGTTATGGCGTCTTTCAATAGATTATTTTAAGAAATCTTATGAATAATGCACAAATTCTTCACTGTGTCTGTGTCTGTCATCAGACAACTTGTTATTAATCGGCGAGTCAGTTCTTTCCTTGGCAAGTATTTATGTCAGACTGTCAGTTGATGGCCTCAGATGTTATTAAGAGAATGAGTAGGAAAGACAGTTCGAATGAATAATTGTTTTGTCTTTTGGTTTTATATTCAACGTGACTGTAAGTCTGTAGGTTCTCCTCAAGTCTCTTTGACATTGTGATTATGGCTTTTCATTTAATTGTTTTATGATAATATAATCCAGGTGGAGTTGGATCTGGGGTGGTAGCTGGAGATGATGCTACAAAGTATGGCATTCTCACGTTATTTTCTTTTTCTTCTTTTTCTTTCAGTATTCTTGTTTTTGTTTTTGTTTTTATGTAATTGCTTTTGTGAAATAATCGCAATGATTATATTTCCTTCTTACCTGAGATGATTTTTTTTCTATCTTGCTGCTCTGGTTCACACCTTCTTGGTATTCGATCTGTCATATTCATGGGAGTTAGTTTCAGACTGAACACATGTTTTGAGAATTTGAGCCAGATGGTGGATAGCTCAATAAGATAATTCAGTTACCTTGTAAATTTAGTTGCGTGGGATATGAAATGATATTTTATATCTTGGATTTCTTCAAAATTGGCATTACGTTTGTTTTGTCGTAGTACACTGGCCAGATGGATGAAACTTGTTCCTGTTAAGTTTCTCTAAAATGACCTTTTTGACTTTCTCAATACTATTGACGGTTGGCCATGAGACAAAATTTTCATCTCCATTTCCTTTTCTCCCCCTTTGCTTCCTGCATCCTTGTTCTTGTTAATTTATTTCTTTTGGCTCTCATCATTAATTACAGGAAGGAGCTCCTGAGGGCTATTGATGTAAGGCTTCTTGCAGTGCAGCAGGATCTATATACTGCTTGTTCTCGTGCTGCTGCAGCCGGCTTCCATGTCGACTCTGTCTCAGAACTTCAAATGTTTGCAGATCGGTTTGGGGCTCATCGACTAAAGTAAGGAATCATTTATATTTAAGAAACAGCTCCACAATTGAAAATTTTCCAACTTTCAATGTGTTCAACCTTTCTTCAGCAATGTTGAATCAGTAGAACTAAACTGGGCTCAAGTGTCGTCAATTTGACCTATTATTACTTCAGACCTGTATTATAACATAGTCCGACAGGCATCACCTAAGAGGGTTTTACTTAGTTCAGTAATAACTTCTGCAGAACTTTAACTAGCAAAAATGTTTTGGTTAAAGTTTGGATTTAGTTGCTGCTTCTTTGTCGAATAAAATATTGAGTAAACGTAGCTCCGAAAAGTCTTGAACACTACATATAGTTACTAAAAATGAACTGGATTTCATAATCATTTTCAGTACCTGTTCCCTAAATGCTTATTCTTGGCATGTTGTTTTTTCTTTTTATTTGGTGGGATTCCTAAAATATTAAGGGCGTGCTTGGATACAAATATATCCGCTCAAAACGAGTTCTTTTGGTTAACCGGAGTGAATTTAAAAAAAAAAAAAATGGTATTATTATTTGTTAATGGGATTTTGAATTAATATTAAAATAATATTTAAAATAAAATAATTAAAATTGATTTGATGTAAAAGTAGGAGATAGATGATGTGAAGTGTTGATGTGATGTTAAGAATGAATGATTTATATTATTTAATTATATTGATAATATTGAAAATAATGAGGTTGGGTTAAAATTGATTTAGATTTTGAGTATGAATTAAGTTTGGATTGAAGAAATTTATAAACAAACACAACCCAACATTTTTTGTAGATTCATTTGCTTGTTTCGCCTTTGCAGTGAAGCATGTAGCAAATACATTTCGCTAAGCGAGAGGCGGCCCGAAGTCATCCAACCATGGAAGCCCGGCCCAGATGATCGGGCCCTCCGCTCCTCATATGGGTCAGACATGTCCATCGATGATGACCCAACTTCTCCACCACCCCATCAAGAACCCGTCAATCCCCGGCCCTTAAGTCGTCCAATCAGCAGAGAATCGAGTGTCAACAGGGAAGAGTCTAAAAAGCCAAACGACATTGTGCCAGAAAAAGATAGTAAAGATGAAAGCTCATCAACTCCAGATCAGCCCGAGTCGATTCAGGCGAGTCAACCCGCGAGGCGACTCAGTGTTCAGGACAGGATAAACATGTTTGAGAACAAACAGAAAGAGAATTCTGGCGGGAAGCCAGCTGTTGCAGTGAAGCCTGTCGAGTTGCGTAGGCTGTCATCTGACCTTTCAGCATCCGGTGGACTCCCTGAGAAGGCAGTTTTTAGGAGGTGGAGTGGAGCTAGCGATATGAGCATTGACTTGAGTGCTGACAAGAAAGATACCGAAAGCCCCTCCACATCAGTAGTTTCTCAAGACAAAAAGGTTTTTGGTTCAAATGATGATACTAAGGTTAGTGATAGCAGTGGACCTAAAGGGGCCTCGTTACATAACCTTGAGCAACTTTCTGAGTCTAAGAAATCCAATTCTAGTTTGGGTTCTGGTGAAAGTGGTTCGAAACATCAAGTGCTTGGGAAGACCCAATTAAGGTCTTTCACTTGTAAAACTGAGGATGAAAACTGTTCAGAAGACAGTTGTAAAACTTCAACGGGGGCTCCAGGGAAAGCGAAGGTTTCTCCTAGCAGTGAGGAGTGTAGTGGGTCCCACGTACAGATTGTTGATATAAATGAGAAGGTTTCTTCTATAACCTATACCAGGCCTTCCATAAGCAAAGGAGGAGAGCAGACCAAAACGTTTACGAAAAGGGAAGATTTTGAATCTAGGAATGATTCTAGCAAGCAAATTCAAAAAGCTAACCAAAAAACTGCAGTAGAGTCCAGGGTAGTTGAAAGTGAAGCTGGTTCTAAAATAAAAAGGGCGTTTGCTTCTCGTTATAAAAGTAATGAAGGTTTGGATTCCACTTCTTCTCAAAAGGAGGTAAAATTTGTTGGGGAGATTGAAGTTACTGAAAAAGAGAAAGTCTCACACATCTCTGCAAAAGTATCCACAACTCCTATGTCAAGCATTGAAGATTCTGGGCCTCAGACACTGAAGTTGAATAGACAAGGTTTGACATCTGAACTAAACAAGAAGGCACGTGTTCAACGAGACGAGAACAATTCTACTGGTAACAGCAAGACTCGATATTCCGGTAAACTCGTGACAGAGGTTCAGGAAGGCTTTGATTCCTTTTTGACTCCACCTCCAGATCAAGTTCAAAGGACAAGGCAGTCGAAGGGAAATCAGGAGCATAACAACGAGCTGAAAATGAAAGCAAGTGAGCTCGAAAGATTATTCGCCGAGCACAAACTGCGAGTCCCCGCAGATCAATCTGACTCCGCACGTAAAGGAAAGCCAGGAGAAAGAGAGGCACAAGTTGAACAGTCAAGTACTTTACACTACACAAAACCACTAGCAGATGTTGCTCCTGAATCGTCTGACGTTCACCAGTCAAATGAACTCACTAGGTTTTCAAAAAAGTCAACCAAGTTCGAGGTTGCATCCCCTGTGAAAACAGTCGATACTATAAATAAGAATTTTTCAGAGCTCAGTATAGAAGAAGGCTCTCGAGGGAAATTCTATGACACGTATATGCAGAAAAGGGATGCAAAGCTGAGAGCAGATTGGAGTTCCAACAGAGCAGAGAAAGAAGCCCGGTTGAAGTCTATGCATGATAGCCTTGAGAGGAATAAATCAGAGATGAAAGCCAAAATGTCAGGATCTGCAGACAGACAAGATTCCCATAGACGTGCTGAGAGACTCAAGTCGTATAAGAGTAGCAAGTCAGTTATAAAGAGGGAGCAGGTAGACTTATATGTATCTTCTGGAAAGTTTTGTGCCTCATTTACTCTAACTAATGGAAGCCTCTTTCTTTCGGTTCCTAATTTTTAGGATTTACATAGTTAATTAGTGTCCTGTTTGATTGTTTAACCGACTGTATAAAAGTTTCTTTTTGACAGCAAGGCTTAGAGTCTGGGGATAGTGAAGAAGATGAAGAAGCATTGGATTTTACTGAGCAGAATCACCTCCTTGAGAATAGGGCTTTAGATAACAACACATTGTTAAGGGACGGTGTTTCCAATAAAGGTGTACAGGGGAAGAAGCATTTACTCACCAGCAGAAGCTCGTCATCTACTACCGCTCGCACCTCGGCAGCTCCCATCCCAAAATCTTCCATCAAAACTTCTGCAAATTCTGGGAAAAGAAGAATGCAAATGGAGAATAATCCACATGCACAATCTGTCCCGAATTTTTTGGATTTAAGAAAAGAAAATGCCAAGCCTTCTTCTGGAGCCAGTAAAACGACCCGTTCGCAGGTAAGAAGCTATGCCCGCAGTAAAAGCATTAACGATGAAGCTGTTGTTGTCAGGGAAGATAAATCACGCCGATCACAATCATTGAGGAAAAGCTCCGCCAATCTAAGTGAATTTTCCGAAATTTCGCATACTGACTCTAATGGTGTTAATCTAACGCCAATAAAATTCGATTTCGAGGTTATGAAAAGTGTCGGGACCAAGCCTTTTCTCAAAAAGGGTAGCCGCGCTAGCTTTGTTTCTCAAGCTAGTATTGCTAGAGAAAAGGCCTCCCTGGTGTCTGAGTTTGTTAAAAATGACGAAGAAAATGATGATGTGGATTCTGCTGCAGCTGATGAGTTTTTGAGTGTGGGTAATAATGATGTGGATGAAGAATTCGAGGCTTTGAACTCTGAAGATCAGAAGATTTTTGGTAATGGAGAACCAAAACAGGACCTGGAATCTGAGAAACTCGTAAAATCTGGTGATGCGACTACATTTTCTCATACTAACCATGCTTTTGAATCTCAAGTGCCCACCACTGAATCTTTGCAAGATTGGCCTGAGGAAAGTCCCGTTTCATGGAACTATTCACACAGGCAAAATCCTTTTACTTATCCTCACGAGACCTCTGATGTTGATGCCTTCATGGATTCCCCTGGTGGAAGTCCCGCTTCATGGAATTCAAACTCTTATAATCAAATAGACAGTGATTCGTCCAGAATGAGGAAAAAATGGGGAACAGCTCAAAAACCCATTCTGGTGGCTCATTCATCCAGTAGTAATTTAACCCGCAAGGATATGAAGAGTGGGTTCAAACGATTACTGAAGTTTGGAAGGAAAAGCCGTGGCTCAGATGTGCTGGTTGACTGGATATCTGCTACCACATCCGAAGGAGATGATGATACTGAAGATGGCAGGGATCCTGCCAATCGGTCATCCGAAGACTTGAGGAAGTCGAGAATGGGATTCGCTCACGTTCAAACTTATGAGGACAGCTTTAATGAAGGCGAGTTTTTTAATGAATCAGGTGATTTACAATATCCTTTTTCTTTTTTATGCCCTGTCTACTTTATTTTATAGGTCACTTCTCTGTGGTTATTTTCCTGAGTTATCTTGTCATGACGAGTAGTGTTTGTAAACTGGCTCAAGTGAGATTTTCGTAAGATTGTGAGTGATCTGTTGCAAAAGTTGAATGACAAACTGATATAGAGTGTGTATAATTTACCATGTCTCGTTTAATTTAAATTAGTTGATTGAAAAAGGCGTCACGCATTAAATTGTTCCATTCTTGCTTTGGCTTTCACCTGAAGATTTGCCAATAACTATTCTTGCTGATAAACAAACATTTTTTTTTTCAGAATTTGGTTTCCCAATGGATCATTGAGCCATGTTTATAGGCGGAAATTAGCAGCATTTTTTTTTCTTGGCATGCCTTTTGTTTTTCGGCT